AAAAAAAAAAAAAAATTACCTGGAGGTTGAACTTTAGCAGACTGGCCCTTTGGGAAGCTCTCTCCAGTTCAATTTCCTCATTATCCTGAGTAACTAAATACCTGTCAATCCAGGAGAATCACAGAGAAGAAAGCTCAGTGGTAGTCCTAGAAGCCCAACTTTGTCCCAACACACCTGTAACACTTCAGCTCTTCCTAAAGTACATCTTAGGTCAGTTCTGAGTAGTTTCCTCAGAGTAGCCAGGCTGGTAGTACCTCTTAATGACTGTGTGACTTGAGCCTCTAAATGTAAACTTTCTGGGCTTCAATTTTCTTATCCGTAAATAAAGTTAATAAACATTTATCTCATAGGGTTTCTTTTTCTTTTTTTGGTATTGGGGATTAAATCCAGGGGTGCTTACCTGGAGCCACTCTTTTTAAATTTCTTATGTTGAGACAGGGTTTCATTAAGTTGCTTAGGGCTTCACTAAATTACTAAGGCTGGCTTTGAACTCATGATTCTCCTTCCTCAGCCTCTCGAGCCATGGGATTACAGCTGTGCACCATCAGGCCCAGTACTCTTGTAGGGTTTTTAGGAGGACTCAGGGAGATTCTGCATGTGAACAGCTTAGTGGCACATAAGTCCACTTAATAAATGTTAGCAATGTTATTACAAGTACCAAACCTTGGAGGCCAAGGCATTTATTTGGACCACATTAGCCATGAGCAAACCAAACATGATGATGAGCAATGAGCTGGAACAGTCTCTGGAGCATCAATCTGGGAGATAATCCTGTGTCACCTCAAGGAGGGTATACTTAGTCAGGACTCATCCCTTCCAGTGAATGGAACAAAGATACAAGGGTTTTGCAACCTAGAGGCCCATCAGATTATCAGCATAATTATTCTCTGAGGGAGAAACAAGTCTTAAGTCAGGCTGTAGGGTAGGAGAAAAAGTTCCAATGTGTTTTTCCCAGACTGGCAGCCCTAAAAGTGTTTGGTCTCTTTTTGGTTTCTTTCTGTGCCCTGCTTTTTCCAGTTATGTGTACAGTATGGGAAGTTGCTGGATGATGTAATCTGTGGTTGGGCTATGATTTTGGCAAGAGATGGTGGAACATGAGGAAGGGCAAAAGAAAAACCAGGCTGTTTCCCATATCCGCTCTCTGAAGAGTTGCTGGCAGGTCCTAGAGGTCAGGGCACCTGGGTCCAAGGCTGGCCCAAACACTGGCCTACTCCTCCTCCTTCATTCTTTTGGACAGTCAATGCCTGAAAGGAGGTATCTGTCTTGTATTCCTTTTAGATATTATGGTTTTCAGGATCTGAAGAAGCCTTCTGTTAGCCATGATCTGTGCAGGGAAAATCCCGGGGACTTGGTTTCTGAATCCTTCAGATGACAGGGACATAGAAAATGTAAGGATAAGTTCTGAAGCTGTACTGCTTGGGTTTATCTACTGCTCTGCCACCTGACAGTTGTTGGACAACTTATTTATCTTCTTTGTCTTAGTTTCCTCATGTTTAAAATAGGGATATCACTCATACCTCTATAGGATTATTATGAGGATTGAATGAATTAATTTAAGTAAAGCACTCAGATCCAAGTGCTATCATATAGTAAATGCTCAAAAGAAGTGTTTTGGATGATTTCAATACACATTAAATTTTTTTTTTAGTTGCACATGGACACAATATCTTTATTTATTTATTTTATGTGGTGCTGAGGATTGAACCCAGTGCTTCACACCTTTAAGGAAGGCATACTACCACTGAGTCACAGCCCTAGCTCCAACACTGAATTTTTCAAGAATGCAACTATCATAAAAATTGAGAGATAATATGTTAGTTTGTTTAGAATTTTACCAAAACAGTTTACCATTTTGGAAACTCAGGCAACTCAATGTCATTTACAGTACTTTTGAGTTGTCAATACAGGACATCTGAATTAACTTGTGGTTATTACATTCATGGTAATTTTCAATGAGAGCAAATGAACAGTTCATTATGTGTTAAGAGTTGGCCTACATAGTTATACATTAAAATACAGTTGAGACATTATATTGGTTTTAAAAATATGCATGCAGGTTATGAAGCTATACATTTCATTTTAGCAGAATAAAGGGAGCACTACGGGCTGGGCTTGTGGCTCAGTGGTAGAGCTCTTGCCTAACACTTGTGAGGCACGGGGTTCAAGCCTCAGCACTACATATAAATAAGTACATTAAATAAAGGTATTGTGTCCATCTACAACTAAAAAAAAAAAGAAATTAAAAAAAAATAAAGGGAGCCCTACAAAATATTTGCTATTATTATAAAAGCTCATTTGGTTTGATTTAAAGGAGACTGACAGAATACTTTGGAAATCTTGTGCCTGATCTGTGTGCCAACTTACCTTACCGGTTATCTAAGCTACTTGGATAATATGACAAACTTTGTTCCAGATGAGTGAGTGAATTAAATATAAGGAGGAGTGGGGAAGACATAAGACTTCTAGCACTTGGTCAACATAAGTCACCAGCAACAACGGGATGAAAGTGCTCATTCTTCCTGGCCTTAGATTTGGAAAATCATGACCACAGTCTCTTCATGAGCTTTAGTTTCCTCATTCTTAAAATAAGATGGTAGGATTCTTTCCCAAAGCATGTTCCATGGAACATTATTACTTCACATGATTATGATGACAAAAGGGTTCCTTAGTAAATAAATTTAAGAAATTGTCAGTTTTCTTTGCTATTGGACTTCTCAGACTCTTAACAGGCTAAGATGCTCTGAATCTCCAGGAAGGGAACACAGTTGTATGGAGCACTTACCAAACTTATTTGACCATGAAGACCTTATTTCAAAGGAGCAACTCATGAAGTTATTATGCCAAAGGAAATTTTTGTGATAATCATAAATCTTTAAAGTCTCTTCTACCTCTAACATCCTAAAATTCTGTGACTTTGAATGTCTCAATGAGACAATCTTCTTGGTCATTTTAGATTAGAATAAGAAGGGTGAAAAGAAAGCCCTCTTGCAGAAAATAAAAGATCCTAAGTCTGATGCAGAAGAGGAAGACAAACCACAGTCTAACATATGCAAATCTATATAAATGATTATGCAGAAGAGGCAGAAAGGGAGCAGTTTTAAATGTTAGGGCTTCCAAATTGTCACTTATGTTATCACTAGAAAAGGCTGAACATTACAGTTTAGCAGTTATAGTAAGGTACTGAGTCCTTATCTTTTCAGTTTTATTTCTCAAATCTATCACCATCATACTGATTTGGCCAAGTCACTGTAAAGGAAGTCTTTGGGACTATTCCCTAGTCTTAAGCATTGACCAGGTCCTCAAGTAAGTTCATACAATGTTAGTTGGAACATTCAGTATCTTCTCTGGAATTTTAGCATTTGGGGCTAGGGAGGGAATCTGAGTGTTGGATGGAAGATGAATCTCTGGATCAGTCAGGGGTCATGCTGCTGTCATAATAAGAAATCTGGACCTGCTAAAGGGGAATGAAACCCAAGTATAGGAGAAGCAGAGATAAGAGGAGGAGGAGTATTTTTGCTCTGCCTGAAACTCCACTACAATGATAGTAAGGGACTTTAAACACAGTATTGTTATCCAAACAAAAAGAACAAACAAGGCAAAAACCTATAAGGGAAAAAAAAAAGCAAGGTGAGGGAAAGAGGGAACTCTTGTGCTACTGTGATAACCTAAGTGACAATGTGTTTTCACTCATTGCTGGTGCAACTACTTGCCTTAAAAATATTTTTTTGGCTGGGTGTAGTGGTACATGCCTGTAATCCTAGCAGCTCAGGAGGCTGAGGCAGGAGGATCACAAGTTCCAAGTAACTTAGCAATATAAAAGTAACTGTCTCAACATAAAAACTAAAAAGGGCTGGGGATGTGGCTCAGTGATAAAGTGCCCCTGGCCCTGAGTTCAATCTCTAGTACCAAGAAAAAAAAATTGGGTTCTTTCTTTTTTAGCTAATGATGGACCTTTATTTAATTAATTAATTTGTTTGTTTGTTTGTTTATGATGCTGAGGATCAAAACCAGTGCCTCACACATGCTAGGCAAGTGCTCTGCCACTGAGCCACAACCCCAGCTCCAGTGCTGTCTCTTTTTTGTGGTGCTGGGGATGGGGCCCAGAGCCTCATGCTTCTAGACAAACATTCTACCAGAGGTACAACCCCAGTCTTTGTGCTCTTCTTTTTTTCTTACTAATTTTTTAAAAATTTATTTTTAAAAAATTTCCTTTGTGCTCTTTATTAAAAACATCAGTAGCCTAATAAAGTTAGGAAATACCTAACTTTTTCAAACTGCTAACAGCAGCTAGAACATAAACTTTAGGGTTAGGTGGTCTGGGTTTACCAGCTCTGCCACTTAATAATAGTGAGACTTAGAGTGGTTGGCTTAACCTAAGTGCAGTTAGTCTCTGGAAAAATGGGGATAACAACACCTATCCCCAGAGCTCCCGAGAGAATAACTGAGATGACTGATAAAACATCTAGCTCAGTATCTGCTTTCTGAAAGCAGATGGTATTTTTCTTTTTTCATAGGTAATAAAGGAAGAAAACAATAGTCAAATCAAGCCCAAATAAATGTTATATCCTTTGGTTCAATACAGAGCATCTAAGGTATTTAGATGTTTTCCCAGTAAAGTACATCAGTATTCATCATAAGGAAGAGGAGATGGCACTCATTAGAGCCTTGAACAGAGTCTGAAGACTGAATTCCAAGTAATAAAGTTTGTCTCCTAAAAGCTGAGATGAATCACAGTGAGAGTCCAGCATGATAAAATGTAGGGAACTGGGGCTGGGGTTGTGGCTCAGTGGTAGAATGCTTGTCTAGTATGTGTGAGGTGCCAAGTTCAATCTTCAGCACCACATAAAGACAATAAAATAAAGGCATTGTGTCCATCTACAACTGAAAAAAAAAAAAAAAGTGTAAGGTACTAAAAGTTCCAGCCCAGATTTAAGCATTACAAATGTATATATACCACTAATGTGTATAACTTTTATGTTTTTTAGAGATAATTTAAAAATTTTTATTATTTTTAGTTTTTGGTGGACAAAACATCTTTATTTTATTTTTATGTGGTGCTAAGGATCGAACCCAGCATCCCGCACATGCCAGGTGAGCATGATACTGCTTGAGCCACATCCCCAGCCCCTAACTTTTATGTTTTTATGAATCAGTTAAAAATAATTTAACTTAAAAAATGTCAGCCATCAAATAAATTGTCTATTCATTCATATTCATATGATCTGATAGAACAATATAAAACTATCTTTGGTAGTTTTAAAAAAATCATTTAAGGGGTTGGAGATGTACCTCAGTGGTGGGGTGCTTGCTAAGCATGCATTAGGCCCGGCATTTGATACCCAGCACTGCACAAATAATTAAAATTAAAAAAAACCACCCAGTGTAGTAGAAGTGATGAAGGTGGTGGTAGTAATGATGACAATCATCAATGATTATTAATGGTACTCATCATTAATGTTGTCTTGTATAGCTGGGCATGGTGGCACATGCCTGTAATCCCAGTGGTTCAGAAGCCTGAGGCAAGAGGATCGCAAGTTCAAAGCCAGTCTCAGCTACTTAGGAAGTCCCTAAGCAACTCAGCGAGACACTGTTTCTAAATAAAATATTTTTAAAAAGGACTTGAGATGTGGCTTAGTGGTTAAGTGCTCCTGGATTCAATCTCTATACCAAAAAAAAAAAAAGTTGTCTTGTACATTTACAACCCTTTGCAGTTTGCAGAGTTTCACATGTTATCCCATCTCACTCTTGCCACATCTATCAGGCAGATAAGACAGATGTGAAAATGACATTCAGAGAGGTTCCTGGATTTGCATCAAGACCAACAGTCTGAAATATTATTCTAACAGTCAAACAGTCTGAAATATTATTCTAGGCTCTATCATTATTTCTCTATTCAAGGTATGAAGGTCAGAACCACTCCTCTTAGCTTCCTAAGGCTAGAAGATGTGGTATGGAAGAGAGAGGAGGAGAAATAAAAGGAGGGGCAGGTAGAGGAGGAAGAAGAGAAAAGTAGGAGGAGGAGGTGGAGGAGGAAGAGGAGGAAAAGAAAGGAGAAAAAGATAAAGTCATTTTTATATGTGTTCTTTTCATTGCTTTCTGCATGGAGCCTTCTATCTGCTTAAAAAAAATAATGTCTGTAGAAGTCATTCTGGGAATGACACTGCACTAGCCCATTCACTGTGCCCATAGCACAAAACTCACCAAATATTGTCCAGATAACTTTCAGGATAAGACAAAATCAATAAAAGGAAGGGAATTCCCCATTTGGTCTGTCTTACAGACACTCACAACTTGCCATTTGTGCTGCATCAAAGATTAAGTGTCATATCCTAGTTCTCATTTGGTCTGGACAGACAGGCACAAGGTGAACTAGGGACATAGGAACTAAATCTTCTGGATGGACCATGAACACTTTCTGTAATTAAAAAAGCAGAGTATCACAAGAAAACTCTTTGCTTTTTTTAATCCCAGGGTTTGCCTTCTCTTACAGAAATGGAACAACTGCGATTCAGATGTCTGAATAAGTAGGAAGTATTTGGGGGTAACAGACATTTTATAAATTCACAATACATTTTTAAATACTTCTATCCCCCTGTGTCCTGTGATGCTGTGAACGCTATCCAACAAAACTAATTTCTTATTAAATACCTGGTCTTATTAATATCAACCCTGTAAACAGCCATGCCCTCCTAATGAAGCAAGGTTAGTAAAAGCACCACTTATAATGGTATGAGAAAGAGGCTTCTGCCATCATAATTCAACAATGGACTCAAAGGAAGGAATTAAAAGTCATAGCAGAGTGGAGACGTAGTTTGCCTCATAATCTGACCCAGCCATCAATTAATAAGTAATCTCTAACTCTTGCTCCTGAAGATGCTTTAAGGTTTTGCTCCCCGTACCCTTTGGCACTGGGAATTAAGCCCAGGGACTTTATCATTGAACTACACCTCTACCCCTTTTTATTTTGAGACAGGGTCTTGCAGAGTTGCTGAAGGCTTTGTTAAATAGCTGAACTGGCCTCAAATTTGTGGTCCTCCTGCCTTAGCCTCTGATAGGATTATAGGCATGCACCACTGAACCCAGCTCCAGATTATATTTTTTATGACTGACTTATTTCAATTGTGTATAAAACTGATTTTCATTATTTGTGGTAGTTATGTTTTTATAAACACTAAGTTTGCTGTTAACGCTGAATTAGTAGATGTTGAACCACTGCTCTTAGAGGAAACACAGGGTTAGGTTCCTATGAGGATCTAGTTACACCAAATCAGTCATTGTTGAATATTTGTTTTTATCTGCTTCTTTTTTGGTACCAGGGATTGAGTGTCCAGGGGTGCTTAACCACTGAGCCACATTCCTAGCTCATTTTATTTTTAATTTTGAGACGAGGTTTTGCTAAGTTGCTAAGGCTGGCCTCAAACTCATTGCTCAGGCTCCTGAGCTGCTGGGATTACAGGTGTGTGCCACTGCATCCAGTTTATCTCTGTTTTTTTGTTCT